TGTTGTAGAAGCAGCTGGACCCATTTGGGAAACTCTGCCAACTCAGGATCTTGGACCTCCTCAATACTCAAATCCATCAACTTGCCCATCCCTGCTCCTCGTATCGACTTGGCCATGATTTTGAGTGAAAGCGTGGTTTTGCATAAACTAGCACCTCCTCTCAACATCACCTTCCTCCCCTTCACCTTCATCTCCCCAAGTGTCAGCAGTTACTTCATCCCCAGAATCACATTTGTGCTACCCAATTCCAAAAGAAATCCTCCACCAACTATAGGTAATATAGTGTCAGAACCAACCCCTTGCAAATTCCCTGACTTTTCTCCACATTTCCTATCCCCATCATGACACTGAAGCTCTCTTTAGTCACCAGCGCTACCCTATTTGATCCATGTCCTTATCTGATATAAAGTTATGTGTGGCCCTGTTATCTATTAACACCACAATCGATTGTTTCTTGATCTGCCATCTCACTTTCATGATGTGATTCAGAGTAAATCCCACCACTGAATTGATGGAAACCTCTACTACATCCAAATGCAAATGCTCCTTATCCACTGCGTCTTCCTCTAATTCCTCACCCTCTATCTCCTCCTCCTGAACTAAAAGGATTTGAAAGGTAGGCTCCTTGCAACAGTGGCTTGGGACATACTTCTCGTCACAACAGTAACATAATCTTTTTGCTCCTTTATCCTGCACTTCTACATCGGTGAGACACTTGAAATTGCCCCAGGGAGGGGTCGCCATATTCTTTGCCTTTGACGTCTCTCTCTGAAATGGCACTGTCTGGGTCCTTAGTGTCATGGTTGTCAATGCACTCTTATAGAATCACTTGTTTTGTCTCCTTTGTTGGTCTTTTTCACATGTTTCTTGTCCTCCATCGCTAATCGAGCTTCATTATTTCCCAATGGTCGGATGACTGGTCTTATGTCAAGCTTCAAGCCTTTCAAGAAGTTCCCCACCAATTCTGTTGCAAAAATACCTCTCAACCTCCCAAACAAAAGCTCAAACTTCTCTTTGTATTCCATAATCGACCCCTCAGTTAGAATAGAGAATTGCTCGTATAGGTTACCTTCTCGAATGGCTCAAAAATGCTCCAACAAGCAATCCTTAAACTCCTCCCACAAGTGCATTAAATATCTTGTCTTCATCCACTAAAACCATGCTAAAACCTTTCCCTCCAAACATACTCCTGCCGCCATGAGCTTCTCTTCCTCAATTAACACATTGACTGCAAAGAATCGCTCCACCTAATACACCAACCAATGTGCATCTCCCGCTTCGAAGAATGGCATCTCCACCCTCTTCCTCTTCCTCCAGTATTTCCCCACATGTGTCTAGGATGAAACTCCCTCCTCCAGTAATAGTCATCGCTCCTACAATTTTCGGCCCAGCCCCCTCCATCGAAAGTCTCCACTCCCCCTCCACTCGAAATCCTAGGGGGATGTTCTTGGTGATAGATGAAATCCTCCTCGTTCTCCTCTCGTTCAATCTCCTTCCCCTTTAATTTGGCCAAAAATTCCCTGATCAACCCATGGTTAGGTTTGCAACTCGAGCGATTGGCATGGCCTTGAACTGCATCTTCAAGAGCATCTTCATCATCTCCCGCATTTCTCCTATGCTCTCCAATATGTCCTCCATTCGGCTCTCTATGGAAGAAAACATGTCCTCAATAGTGTCGAACCTTTCTTCCATTCCCAATCTAATTTGTCTAACTTCTCCTTCCAACACATACACATTCTTTGTCGCCATCCCTCCAAGATGTTGCTCTGATGTCAATTCGATACAATCCATAACAAAAAAAAATAACGACGAATTTGTAATAGATCGGTGGAAAAACTCAACGAGAGTTGCTCTTACGAAAATCAAAAGAAAGCAAGTAAGATACAATGATTATCTACAGCCCAAGAGATAGATCGACTCTCCACAAACCCTAGACATCGCTTACAACACCATCGGAAGAAAAGAAAGCTGCGGCCAAAACAAAATGTGCCGCCACTAACCCTAGGTTATTAGCCCTAATATAACCCCCCAAATTTTCCCCCCAAAACTCCCTTTAATTTCTTCCTTGCGTACATGATTACAGCCCTCGTAGGCCCCTCTTGTTCACTAGATCCCTCGATTGAAGCTCCCTACCATGACTCGCCTCCCTGCTGAGTCGTTTGGCTTCTGGATGAATGAGGCAAGCCACTCATCTAATGCTCGACCAGTTTCGTCTAGATAGGTTGTGTAACGAACGTAACAGATGAGATTTTCAAGGCAAAATGATTACAAATGACTTATAAATAAAATGACAACTATGTTTTCAAATATAAAATTGATGTTGAATGGGGATATGAAGCTACTATATATATTATGCCATGGTGAAAGATTAATTCACTCTAAAATCAAATATAAATGGGGGAATTTTATATTCAAATTGAATTTTGAAAGGACTTTAGACAACCATCAATTGAACTTTCTATCAATTCTCTTTTGGGTCATTTATTTCCGCTTGTATTTCTTGAAAAATTGCTTCTAACTCCCGTGTAATTTGACAGAAAGCAACTAAAATTTTAAGAGAATTAAAGAGGGTCACCTTTCTCCTCATCTTTTCATTTTCATTATGGATGACTTAAAGAAAATGTTACAAGCAAATTATATTCACAAATGTATTAAAAGTTAATATTTCAAAATTAGGAAGCAACCAATTAATTATTTTAAATTTGTAGAAGACATTCTTTTGTGGAGCATTTACCTTTCAAGCTAGCATTCTCACGAACTTTTTAAACATCTTTAAGAGAGTTTCGGGCCTTAGAATTAACTTCTCTAAATCTTTTCTCATTTACCTTGGAATGTTTCTTGGTAAAGGTGCCTTTCTTACAGCCATCTTGGGCTCTCCTTTAAGTCACTCGCTAAGTACACTAGTATTCATTTAGGATCTAGAAGTGTTCGGTGCTCTTTTTAGAAGCCTCACATTGAGCAGATTCAATTGAAGCTCTTACCTTGAAAAAGGTGGCTTCAATTTTAATGGAGATAGAATTGTGCTCATTATTTTAGTTCCTCCTTTTTTCACTCTTATTTCTTTCTTTTGGATTCCTACTTGGGTCAACGAAAAAATCAATGGCATTAAAAGGAACATTTTTTGAGATGGTAACAAGAATAATGCAATCTAAACCTCATGCTGGAAAAGTATTTGTAGACCTAAACTAAGGGAGGCCTTGATATCGAAGACAAAAATTTGATGAACTAATCTCTCAAATGAAAGATGGATTTGAAATTCTATGAAATGAAACAGAGATTCTTTTGCCAGCACTGTCATTTGTAATAAGTATTTTAGAAATTTGAACTCTGAATTTTTGGCTGGCAATGCTCTAACTTAAAATGCTCTATAACCCAACTTTGTTAAAGGAGTCTCTAAAGTTATTTGTCCTTTTCTTCCCTCGCCACTTAGAAAATCTATAATGATAGAAGCAATCATTTTTGGGGGAAAAAAATGATTTATGATTGCTTCTTTTTAATCAATGATATGCTCACCTTTTTCAGAAATTATAATGATGTTATTGTTTCCTTTCATTCTACTGATCATGATGAATATGGGCTCTTGAGAAGGGCATTCATGAAAGAAAAAACTTACCTTGTTCATATCATTTAGTTTAAGCTTGATTATGTCTGGGATGTACCTTATAGCTTCCTTATTTTACTAATATTTTCTTTCAGTTCTTTCTACTCTTTTTATAAATGACGTCTTAATCCCAGCTGTTATTGGTTCTAAAAATCTATTAATCCTCTCGAAATTGTGATTCCTTTTGAGATCCTTTATATGACAAAAATTCCCTGCAAAGGGACTCTTTGCTATAAAGGGGTTATTAATTATCTGTGATGTGTAAAGATGATTTAGAAGACGGTTTTCACATTTTCTTAGAATGTAGCACCATCTCTAATACTTGGAAGAGGCTTTATAATTCTTTCAGCATTTCCCTCCCATGATTTAACTGGATGCAACATTGTCTACTTGGTAAGTAATTTACATCGAAAATAATTTTAGGAAGCTTTGGGATATCTTATTCTTTTCTTCCATTTATTGCATCTAGAACAAAATTAATTCTAATTGTGCCTTTTTAGTATGTTATCTTCCTAAGTTTCTCCTTACTAATTGCAATAATATTTATAATATCTTGTTCTATTAAATAAGAAAGATTCATCCATCTTTTCATCAAAATAAAATTCCCATCATTTTATGTAACAGCTTCCAGCCTTTACTGCCACCACATTATACAATAGCCAATATTTATTTTGTTCTTTTCCTTATACTTACAAGATACCTTATAAGGTACAATGCATAACTACAACTTATTTTCTTTTAAAATCACCTCAACAAACTTTATAAGATTAATACTCTTTCCAATTACCAGAAAAAAAAAAAATCTTTTCATAATTTGATGGTGGTCAATTTTTAAATGTAACTAAGCGCACTTCTTAATTTCTAAGTTCAGTTTCTCTGTTTTAAAAGGAGATGCTACTGAAATTTTCCTTTCCTTGTTTATTTTATCAAAGTGGGACATCAAACACCAATAGCCCTTAACACTTACTTTGTTCTCAAGTATATTTATTATACAATAAAAACTATTATCGAAGTGTGTCCTGAACGTTGCAAAGAAGAGGAAGATATATTATGAGTCTATGTCATGAATCCCCAGTAGTAAATTGAAGTGATTCTTTGTCATGAATGCATAAAAATTGATTGTTAAACAATATGAAGGCCGAAAAAAATCGACGAAGAAATTGTTGAATGTCATTAATTTCCTAGAAAATTAGGATTTTCTTTTCAACTAAAAATTCCAGATAAGGACATGGACATAATAACACATAATTTCAGTCAACTTTCTTCCACTACTTTCATCTATTTAATTAGTTCTAGGAAAAAGAAGGGAAAAAGAAACGCCTTAAATCTTATCCTTCATTTTTACAAGGCCTTAGTTGATTCTTTGCATCATAAATGAAAGTTTTGAAAAAATATTTACCTTCATGGCTTTTGTAACTGCAAGCTTAATTTGTTGTGAGGTCCATGTCGGATCAGTGTGCGCACCACCAAGCGGCTCCTGTGATCCAAAAAACCATTAAAAAATAACATCTGCCAAAAAGTCATGCAACTCATTGGATGATGCAGTAGCATACAAAAAATTAATTACACGTTAGAGAAAACAAAAACCATAGGAAAATCAATCAAGCAAGATAAGAAAAAGAAAAAAGGTGATAAGTGATAACATGAAAGGATGCACTCTAATGCTCACGAAATAAAATAGAAGAAAAAGAACATGAAAATAAATTGGAACATCAAAACATAATAGCTTGTACTATAGCTAATATGATACACACAACTGAACCGTATGCATTTCATTTTCTTACGTTTCTTCCATGAGCTTGTCCATGGTCAACCTGCTTTAAGCCTTATGCTTAGCAACTCTAGAGGTTAAAAGACCTGGTGAGTGTGTAAGAAAAAACAAAATGTTGATGAATTTCCTTTTATTTCTACATGTTTTGTCTCAGTAATCATAGACATCAAAGTTGATTGATTTCTGCTAGTAGAAGAAGTTAGCATTAAATTAATAAATAAATTAGGAATGATATAATGCAATGTAATATTAAACTGATGCCAAATAAAAATAAAATAGTACGAATTAGACATTGTAATTTGGCCATATAAAACGGAAGGTTTGAAGATGAACAATAGGGTGACAATAGGGTAAGCTCATAGAGGGGCAGGTAGATTTAATTTGAAAGGATCAAGGTATGTTTAGTCGGCTGCAAGAGGAGTGCACTACATTCTTTTTGCAAGGGTTCTGAAAATGCAGGCATTTATTTGGACATAAGAATTTCAAATGCGGTGTAAAATAAGAAAGTATTTAGAATCCGTTCCTTAATTCATTTTTTGTGTATTTGAAATCGCCGGACTGGGTGAATTCCAAATACATATCTCTATGTATGTAAAGTGTTGTAAACCACTGCAGCTAGCTGCCTTTTTGTCAATCAAAATTTTTTTAAGATTTTTTTTCAATCTATAAGCAACCAAATGAGCCCTTGGCCTCCTTGCCTTACTGTGGCCCTCTCAGTCTTCTTAGTGCATAGTTATACCTTCTGTAGTGCATCATCACTCCGAACCTTACTAATACTTCACCATCTTTAATCATTTCCTTCACCTTTTCAACATTCAAGAAAAATAACGAATTCTACAATAGCTAATGAATGACAGAGAAAATGAGGGTAATATAGTCAAAATTTCATAAAAGCAAAAAAGGATTGAGATACTTTAGGCATGTGTACTAGAAAGATTGTAAAGCACCAACAAAAAATGCTTAAATAAGGAAAAAAAAAGGATATAAACAAATCAAAATATATAAACTTTGAAGAAATTTACAATTTTCATAAAACCGACTGAATAGTTAGTATAAAATTGCTGCTAAAGATGTCCAAATAACTATGAAGCAAAAGACGATGTGGTTAAAACTAGAATACTTAGAAGAAATTCTGCAAGATTAAACTCCTCAATGGTGTTCCATGTGCCTCACAATAGTTCCACGTGTCACTTTTTCCTCAATGATTACACTACGCTATTTACACCGTCTAAGAGCTAACAACCATTGGTTGTTAGTGCAGTCCTCATAAATAACCAGAGCCCAGTGGTGAAAGATGAACACCGAGGGGTGCTGGTCTTCACTAAATCTGCCACACCTACTCATCCTTCCTTCCCAATTGCCTCCCTCCCCATTCCTTGTAGTGGTGTGATTTGGATTGGACCCAAATTCAAATGAATTTGGATCGGGATTTATAGAAATTATTGCTTAAAAAGTCGCCTTCATTTCATTCATGATGGGCTTATATGGAGCCTTACAAGGTACATTTACAAATAAATCCTTATATTTCATCTATTTACAAATACGACACCCTACATTAAATAAAAAGCTGAATACTCCCCCTCAAGATGGGAAAAAAATATTCACTAAGCCCATCTTGTCACAAAACCTAGACAAATCTAACGAGCTAAGTCCCTTGGTGAAGCAGTCCACCACTTGCTATCCAGTTGCTACATGAAAAAGCTCCAATAATCTGTTATTCAACTTTTCCTTGATGAAGAACCTATCAATCTCCACATGTTTGGTTTTATCATGATGCACCAGGTTGTTAGCAATGTTGAGTACCGACTTGTTGTCACACCAGAACTTCATTTGAGTTCCCTGATCCACTTTGAGTTCAACCAACAAGGATTTCAACCACATCATATCAGGAACTCCTAATGTCATGGCCTTGTACTATGCCTTTGTTATTGATCTTGCTATAACTGACTGTTTCTTGTTCTTCTACAAGACCAAGTTGTCACCAACATACATGTAGTATCCTAATGTGGATCGTTTGTCATTAGCACAACTTGCCCAGTCATAATCACAAAAGCCTTCAATATTTACATAATCCTTCTTCCTGAATATCACCCGTTTCCCTGGTGCACTTTTCAGATACATCAAAATCTGATACGATGCATCCATATGACCCTTCCTTATATCATGCATATAGCGGTTCACCACACTTACTGCAAAAGAGATATTAGGTCGAGAGTGGCACCGAAAGATCAAGCGGCCCACCAGCCTCTAGTACTTTCTCACGATCGACCGATTCATCTGTCTCTGTACTGAGCTTGATCTTCTGATGAATTGGAGAGATTGAAGGCTTGCATCCCCGCAGACATGTCTCTGTGAGAAGATTCAGCACATACTTTCTCTGGGATAGGATCATCCCTCAAGTCCATGGGTCACTTCAAGCCCAAGTAAGTATATGAACTGTCCCAGATCCTTTTACCTCAAATTGTTTCCCCAATCTTCATTTCAGTTGAGCAGTCTCTGACTCATCATCACTAATGATAATTATGTCATTCACATAAATAGCAAGTATGGTAGTGTGACCTTATATTGGCGAAATAACACTATGTGGTCTACATTGATCTGTTGGTATCTCATGCCAATCATCCTCATTCTAAACTTTCAAACCATGCTCGAGAAGACTGTTTCAATTCATATAGTGACTTCATACCTTGCTCACTGTATTGGATGTACAAAATCCTGATGATATCTCCATATATACCTCTTACAATAGCTCCCAGTGAAGAAAAGCATTCTTCACATCCAATTGGTGGACTCTCCATCCACCATTCACTGCCACAGAAGCCAGAGTCCTCATCATGCTCATCTTTCCAACTTGTGCAAAGATTTGATCACAATCAATGTCATATGTTTCACAGCACCCTTTTGCCACAAGTTGTGTTTTGTACCTCTCCACCTTCCCTTCTGGAGTTTACTTTACCGTGAAGGTTCACTTGTATCCAACTATCTTCTTGCCCGTTGGTAATGGTACAATCTCCCATGTTTGGTTTTTATTAAGAGGTCCAAGTTCTTCATGCATCGCAGCTTTCCACTTGGGATCCTCTTTAACAACTTGTCAACACTTGAACATGGAGACAAAGTCCAATGATGCAATGAATGTTTCATGTCAAGGTGAGATGTTAGAATAAGAAAAAAAATTTGCAATGTTCAGTTCTCACCCAAAACAATCAGGAGAATGTCTCGCATTGCTACAAAATGTCCTCCTTAACTTTAGGGGGTAGGAATGGATAGAGGAGAAATAATGTCAACTGGGAGTTTTGAATCAAAGATGGATGTGTGGGTGCTTCAAGAGTTGGGAAAAACCGAGACAAGAGACTTTTTGGCACGACAGACTTTGTTCCCTCGGTTTGCTTCTTCCTCGGTGTATACACTCTAAGCTCACCTTCAGCTTGAGTCCCAGCACCTCTGAGCTCAATCTTCTTAATTTCTGTCTCCTCAGCTGATTCATCCCACATTACAGGGCATGGCACTCGCTGTCTCATCTCATATCTCCAATGTCTGTTGAGTCACCGAAGGGTAAATTTACCTCCAGAGTGTAATATGATTCAAACTCTAAATAATACATCCATACTCACAAAGAATCTCTTCTCAATCAGGCTCCAGCAGACATAACCCTGCTGAGTAGCAGAATAACACACGAACACATATTTCATATCTTTAAGATCCAACTTCCCTACAGATGGTCTATTGTCTTTCACAAAACATACATATCCAAACACCTTCAATGGAAGGATCTCTCTATTATCTCATTTCAACATCTGATAATGAGACTTCCACTTCAACACTCTTGAGTGCATTGAGCGGTCGTCAACACTTCTTGCCCCCAGAAATATTGTGGGACATTCATTGTCATCATCATGCTCCAGGCTACCCCTCGAAAATGCTGATTTTTCCACTCTACTACTCCATATGTGCTAGTGTGTATAGGCATGTGGTTTAGAGTTGAATCCCTTGATCTGACAGGTAGTCCTCAAATACTTTGTTGATATATTTTGTTTCATCAGTTCTCACTGACTTCACAACTGCACCATATTGGGTATGGATTGCCTTATAGAAATCTTTAAAGCAAACAACCACCTCTCTTTTGCCTCATCAAGTGTATCCAAGTAACACGAGAAAAACAATCAATAAACGTAACAAAATAAGAAAATGTAACAAAATCAAACACACTAGAACAACTCTTCCAGAACTAACATAGCGGGAAGAGTAAGTGTGTAACCGGCACCTTGAAGCGAGCAAAAGTAGCACAAGTCTATATAGCACTTTTGAATGAATTTATCGCCCTAGACCACTGCTCTATCTCACGGTGAATTGAAACACCCTCATGTCGTTCTCAGTCCCAGTATAGGTTCTCTTCAACTTTGATCAGATATCATTCACCTGTTGAATGTCATCTACTGATGTCTCAATCGATGGAACCATCGAATTGAGTAGCCAGGTGTAAATAATGAATGTGTGATCCTCCACTCGTCCCCCTCAACACTTCCACTTTTTGGCTAGAACCGCCTTGATCCAATGCGACCAACTCAGATATGTGTTCGGTCCATCGAGCTTCATATCCATACGATGGAGGTCTAGTTTCACCTGCATAGGAACACATGCTAAGGTAGTAGCTCCCATCGAGACAATAGCTCATTGTAATAGCCCGACAAAGACTCGAAGAACTTCAGGATCTATCTTCCCTAAAAATTTCAATCATTTACCTTCTGCACTATCTCTATCTCCGGACAACCTAAATCACCAAGATAAATCTAAAGCACACAGAATACGTACAGACTTCCCGACCCTTAAACCACAATTCTTTGAGAAGATAATCACGGGACTTTACTACGTATGAAATATCATCAGAAGTGAATCCCTGTTCCACTCCTTCCTCTCGCAGCAAACCTTTGCAGAAGCCCTTCGCAACAGGAAAGCTTCGATCCTTCGGAGAAAGTTTCATGATCTCGTCTACCTTCCCAACAATCCCGTCTACCTTCCGAGAAAGTTTCACGATCTCGCCTACCTTACCCATAGGTGTCGCGATCTGTCTGTCTTCCCAGCGAGCCCTTTCGCTATGTAGTGGCACAAAGCAATCTCGTCTTCCTTCCCCACACGAAGCGATCAACTTTGCGATTCAGTCTGCCTTCCTAGCGAGCTTTATCACGGTTGCTATGCGAAGGAAACAGGACACGACCGGCTGGCTACCAGGTTAGGCTCTAATACTATATAGAAATTATTGCTCAAAAAGTCTCCTTCATTTCATCCATGATGGGTTTATCTAGAGTCGTACAAGGTACATTTACAAATAAATCCCTATATTTCATATATTTAAAAATATGACCCTACATTCGATACAAATCTCAACGGGATTAGAAAAAGATCAAACCAAATAATGAGTTGGATCAAACCTCAATATGAATCAAGTTGACCCAAACTGAACCTAGAGCAAGTCCAATACTACCACTCACAGGCAGATCACTTCATATAGGATAGTTCTATATAAAATATACATGCATTCATTTACTAATATATTAAAAACAAATAAATCTTACAATCCCAATAATTCAAGAGCATTTACCGGAATAATCCCATCGGCAATTTTGAGCTTACAAAGTTCTACAGCTGTGATCTTTAGTCTCTGAGCTGCCTACAAATGAAAAGTCAAACTTTGTTAGCTAAGGCCCGAGTAGACAATAATAGCATGCACAAACAAAATCAGCCTACCTTTGCGGCTGCCTTGGAAGATTTCCACAAAATCGCTGCACATGCTTCAGGGCTAAATTTTAAAGCAAATAATATGTTAATAAAAGTTATTTGCAAGCCAAAAAACAGATTGCATGAAATCCAATAGATCTAGAAAAAGGATGCAAGAATAATTGCTGCAGGAACTGACATTGTACTCTCTTATGATACAAAAAAAAAAAGAGCAATGGCAAAAACTTTCAAAAAACTCGTGGATAAATAAACTATTCCAAATGGTCCTCCCAAAAAGATTATAAAAAAATAGTGAATCAATGTTTCTCAGCCCTGCTTAAACACCTCTAGTGTGACTTGTGGTCTGAAGATCACAAATCATGTAAAAAGAACCTCTCAATGTTCAGAGCAGGATTTCCAATAGACCAAATGTATAAGACACAATAAAATAAGCAAATAAATTGTTTGACAATATTTTAAAAGCTCCAATCCAGGACCAACAAATCAAAGAAAAGTAATCAAAAATTTGATTAGCGCAAACATAATCTTTCTAATTTTCATTGATGGAAATGTAAAACCACATTGCCTGGATTTGCATTGAAGTCTCAGCCATGCATGAACTGCAATTATCACATGATGTACCCATGTCCACTTCAATTCTGAATTTTTGCTCAATTGTTACTCAAAGGCCAAACAAAAGTGGTGTATGCAGTATTCAAGGCTGCCATAAATACATGATTTGGGAAGAGGTCAACTTTGCACTCTTATCCATACACTACAATGAGGTAATTTCTGATATTAAAACCCATGACCTCCAAATTCAAATGAAGGGAACTTAGCAGTAGATCTAAAACTTGCAACCTAACTAAAATAATAAAAAAAACTAGAAAAAAAAAATCCTACTTTTCATGTGATTTGTGTGTGCACATGCGCTTTAGCAGTTAGGCGTGACCAAAACTGATATAACCAATGCTTATCACCACCACTAATGAATAGTTTTGTGCAATTTAGGTATACAAACTATGATGCTCTGCTCACCTTGCCACATAAAAGACTGCATTTTCTAACATAAACAGTTTGTTTGCACAACCTATCGCAAGAGCTCCACCTGATCCACCTTCACCAATAACAACCGTCACTATTGGGACCTTGAAGCCAAACATAGCCCTCAGGTTGTAGGCTATAGCTTCACCCTGCATGCAGCTAAAGAAGCTGGATAATTTCATGCCATTTATCTAACACAAATATAACACGATAATCTTCAATTGTTATAGAATACTACAGACTGGGACTTACTTGACCAATTTCTTCAGACTTGAGATCAGCATATGCACCAGGTGTATCTATAAATGAGATAATGGGAAATCCATGGTGATCAGCATATCTCATCAAGCGCAAGGCCTTCCGGTATCTGTACAGAGCAGTACAGCTTAAAAAGGACTTGCACAACCTATAAAGCTGGGCGGGATAGCGTGCAACTTGTGAAATTATTACCAAGTACATGATAGTTGAGAATAAAGTGAATTTAGACCGTTGCAAATCATCAAGCATAAGAAAGGTCACATTTGAACAAAATGAAAGCATCATATGAAACCCTTTTTTTAAGTAAAACAAGATATGAGTAAAGGTTTAAGTACATAATCACTATGATATATTATTACCCATGTGGAGTCGGCATTCTCCAAAATTCCGATGAATGTTTTCTTTTGTATTCCTTCCCTTCTGGTGGCCAATAAACATGTAAGTTTTTCCATCTATACTTCCAAGACCAGTAACAATAGCTGGATCGTCGTACCCTGCACGATCACCATGAAGCTCCACCCACTGGACAGCATCATGGAACAAATAATAATAAAAGATGGGCTTAAGCATAGGCCTGAAAAGGAAAAACTGAGAGAATGCAATAAAAATGACTGAAAAAAAAGGGAGCAAAGAGAAAATACTTTGTCAGTTATATTCAAAACATGGTCCAGAAATGTTGGCCTATTTGGATGGCGAGCTATATTAAGACGTTGAATTGGAGTCAAATGAGTGTATAGATCTTTTAGAGCCTGCAGAAAATACAGCAAACATATGTCAAGGAAATCAGAATTAAAAGCCTAGGAAGTGATTAATGAAAAAGAGCATCTAAAAAGACTGTATAAAGCCCGAAAAATTGACAGATGAAAACAAGCATCTGGAAATCCATCACACATACAGCACTTCTCTTCTTTTTTTTTTTTTTTTTGCACTTATAAAAGCCAGAAATGTCTAATGATCATGAAAAGGCTAATACAGTCACATTTCATATTCTTATAGCTGTCGATACATGTTCCTTCAAGTTTAAGATTCCCTTGATGATCATGAACAACAATTTGTAAGCTTAATCGAATTTCCTTAATGAGAATTGTTCCTCTTGCCTTTGTAATTATGCAGTATCTTCATCAATGAAGGACATATTAAGAGAATCAACATGGAAATTACCAACAATGTAACCTACTTCTCAAACTGAAATTCCAGAAGTCTTCAATTAGAGAAAAGCTAAATAGTTTATATCCTCTGATAAAGTGATGTATCCATTAAAATGGATGTTAGCATTTCATTAGTTTCATTACTTAGTTCATCTCACACCAGTTCTTGCATGATTCACATAAGTCGCTTGATTTGCATGAAAATGTTTGCAAGAGTATGATTGTTATAATGGCAAGTGATTAAACATGTAAATTAAAAATAATTGATAAAAAGAACGTTATGTCAACATACTTAAAAACTCCCTACGAAAACTTTTTAAGAAATGAACTGCGAAAAAAAACACAAATATATGAAATCATAGAGTGAATCAAGACAAATGCCTATACATTGAAAATTCTGATATGCTTTGGTACTAGATATATTTTATTGATATGCACACATTTTTTAAAACTGTTGGTTCGTTGTTATATTTGAGGGGAGAACTTATTCCCTTTAATTATCCATTATTATGTTTTATTTCTTTCCTTTTACCACGATGATTTGAATTTTCCTCTATGTGTAAGAGGGTTAGAGACACAAAATGTCTAGTTGTGATCTAGTAAATATTGTTTTCCATATTATGATAATCTTCAGTTTTTATGTTTTAATTTTCTGTTTTTTATTATTTATGTGTATTCTATTTGGATGACACATTTGTAATAAAGGGGGGGGTCCTTAGTGTTTACAAATACGTGATCCTGTGTTGTATTAGGAGGTCTTTGACGTTCATTTGAGTGTTGTGAGGGATTTGGCTCACTTGATAGTTCCGGATGGGCTGGATGGGGGCAAGTCTCTGACCACAAAGTTAGGTTGTGGAAACTATACCCCTCATTCTTCCACTACCTCATGATCTTGATTAGTCTTACGAGGCTCAGAATTAATCGGAGTAGGCATATCAAAGCTTCAGTAACTTGCTTGAAAGCCAATTGTATATCTTCAGCAGATCTTGCTTGAGAACAAATAGCTCATACGAATTCTCAGCTTTAGTAGCAATCGGCTCCATGACTTCAAGAATAGGGTGATTCAACATTTTATTGGGATCAGAAAAACTCGAATGTTGTCGAACCCTCTTCACTAGCCTGCTTGAAAACTAAATTTATATCTTTAGCAGAATTGGCTTCAAGAACCAGTAAACCGAAAGTTTTCTCTACCTTGGGGGATATAGCTTCCACAACAGTATCAACTAGGTGGTTTGCCATGGATTTGACTTCAAGAACTAATAACTTTGAATCCGTTTTCTCTATCTCAAAGTCACAATTGGATAAATCTAATTCACGTGAACTTTTAGAGCCGGGAATCACTAGTAAATCAAAGAACTATTGCAAGAACCAATCAAGAATTCATTTTGAATCTACTCAAAGCAAATGTTCATTAGAAGATGAAGAAGAAGCTCCTCCCATCTGAGAAGAATAACACAAGAGTGCATAGTCGTGATCTGAGTTATGTGATTTAGTAAATAGTATTGTCCATATTATGTTAAAGTTTAGTTTTTTAAGTTTTAGTTTTCAATTTAGATGACACACTTGTAAGGGGTTCCATAGTATTTATAAATAGATTTAGGCGATCCAGTAAATAGTGTTGTCCATATTATGTTAAAATTCGATTTTTATGTTTTAGTTTTTGTTTGTATGTGTTTTCTATTTAGATAGCACACTGGTAATAAGGGGGTCCTTAGTATTCATAACAAAGTGGTCTAGTGTTGTATTAGGAGATCTTTGGCGTTGATTTGAGTGCCATGAGGGATTTGACTGGATGGGGACAAATCCCTGGCCACAGTGTTGGGTGATGGAAACTATACCCCTCCATCGTTAGTGGTGACATCCCAAATTTCCTTCTTTCATTGATTCTTCTGGTGGTGATTTTTGTATTCCAATTGATTACAAGAGTAGAATACCATTGTATCTTGTATCTTTCTTTGTTTAATGCTATGTTTATGTGTTTTTCTTGTTTCCAAATTTTTGTTTTCTACATTTTCTCTCTATCTTTTTGGTAAATTCTGCACACATACCCTTTTCGGTATTAGTTAGACTGACTTGTATATATGTATTTATTATTTACATAATGAGAAATAAGAGAGTTTTATTCTCCAAAAACTACATGATATCAGAGCTCAGAAAAAAACCGCAACTCTTCTTCCTCTGTCGGAGCCTCTCTCTACAACGCTAGTCCCTGCATGCCTATAATGCATGGACACTCCTAATTAAAGAGAAGTGCAATGTCGGACACGGACACGACTAAAACATAGCTTCAACATGTATTGAACATGGTATAGAAGTGTCTGAATTAAATAAAATTTTAAAAAAAAAGGAGTGTGCCGTAAATTAATGATAAAATTTTTTTTTAAAAAAATATCTTTAAGATTAAAGTAAAAAAATGTAAAATGTTGGAAAGATTTGCATACAAACCATTCAATTCTTATGTATTTATGTATCTAACACCAAAAATTTAATTTTTACATGTATGCCTCCTTGAATATGTATACAAATTAAAAATGATAATTTCATTTGATTTGATGAGAAATAGGCCTTTGGTATAAATATCGCGAGAAGTTTGGTCATTGGAAGAAGTGTTGAGAAACTTTATAAAAAACCTGCATATTAAAAGTCCAACAAAGTCAAATGTGATTAGAAAAATCAAGCAAACATAGCATCAAAGGAAAAGAAGTCTCATAAACGTAATCCATTTAGTAAAAAGCAACTTAAAGTTATCTAAAAACTTCTGGGACAATATTTTAAGTCTTCTACTAGGCTTCTAACACTTCATGATAGTCTTTTATATGCGCTTGTTGCTCTCAACAGAAAAAATCAGCCTTGGATAATGGACTCTGAAACATCTGATCACGTAACAAGTGATATCACTACTTTTCAATTATTACATTCTTGTAAGCACAATGCTATAGTTAGAATCACAGATGACTCTCTTTCATCTGTAAAAGGAAGAGAATGAGTGAAACTCATAGAAGACCTTATTCTTCAATATGTTATTTATGTTCATAAACATGACTGTAATTTACTTTCTATAGATAAACTTACTCGTGAGAATAATTGTGTTACTATATTCTACTCTAATGTGCGTGAATTTCACTCAGGAAGGTAATTAACAGTGTTGAATGTATCATGGACTTTACCTGCTCATTATGACTGCCACTTCAAAAGGATCGTTCTATCATTCCAATCATTTGAGCCAAGACTTGTAAGTGAGTATGTTTCTAACAAGAGTCAAATTATGTTATGACATTTTCACCTTGATATCCTAACTTCTATTATCTTGAAAAATTATATCATCATTTGTTTATCAATAAAAAGCATAGTTCTTTTCAATATAAAACTTGTCAACTTACTAAACACACCCAACCAGTGTACCCAAACTTGAAATACAAATCAACACATCTCTTCTCCAAGATTCATATTGATATTTGGTGGGCCCTCAAAAAAAAATGGGGCTAGGTAGTTTATCACCTTCATTGATGATCACATTAGAATCACTTAAACATTTTTCATGAAAAAAAAAATGAAACTATCAGTATATTTGAAACTTTCCATAATATGGTCCTCACCAAATTTCAAAGCAATACTTAAATTCTCAAAGCTGATAATTCAAAGGACTACTACAACTCCACACTTGACCCTTATCTATCCAAAAATTACATCATTTATATAAGCTCCTATGTTTACACAAACCCAACAAAATAATGTGGCTAAGAGAAAGAACAAATACCTTCTCGCAGTGACCAATTCAATTATATTCACTAGCAATGTACCCAAACACTTCTAGGGGGATGCACTTCTCATATCCACTTATTGCATAAACAGAATGCCTAGCAAAATGCTAAAACATTAACAAACTTCTTATCACCCTCATATTCAATCATTCACCTCTAGTCCACCACTAAATTTTTTTTATTACATCGCCTTTGTTCATCTACAACAACCACATCAGGCCAAAATTGATATCAGGCCAATCAAATGTATTTTTAGGGCTATTCTTACACCAAAATGATGTATAAATGCTACTCTCCAGAAATTTAAAAAATATATATAAATATATGGTTGTCTCATTCTTTGAAAATCAATCATATCACCACAAATCTAACATTCAAATGAGAGCTGAGAATATCAAATTTGGGATAACATTCAAGAAGCTCAAGTTCAACTCCCTTATATCTTAATGAACCAACTATTGTCCTCATTATCACAAATCAACCTGAAAACGAACCTATCACTCCACTATATCCTCCCATGACTCTCACCAAGAATAAAGAACTCTACGTATACACCAGGAAAAAAAAAACTAGTGAACGCATAAATAACAATATCCAAAATCAAGAAAACAAATCATTTGAACCAACTCCACACACTCCGAATATTCACACAGAGATTGGGTCAATACATCATGAGCACCAAGAGGAAGGAGCACAAGATTCTACAAAATACTCAATAGAAGAATTTGTGATATAAAAAATTATCATACTCTTATAAATATTTTGTTTAAAACTTCGATAATGTGCGAGTTTCAAATTCAATCCAAGAGGCTTTATTTATTTCTGCTTAAAAAAATACTCTGGAAGAAGAGATTTTGCCCATAAAAAGAATGGTTCCTGAAACGTAGCTCCTCTGCCACTTGAAAAAAGAACTGGATGGTGCAAATGGTAATTCACTGTAAATACAAAAAAATGTTAGCATGGAAAGGTTCAATACTAAACTTGAGCACAAGCATTAACTCGGTCCTATGGGATCGACTATCATATGATATTTACATCAGTGGCGAAACTCGACATGATAAGAATATTACTATCAATGATCGCCAATCAGGATTGACTTTTACATCAGCTAGACATTAAGAATATATTTCTAAATGGGATCTTAATGAAGAAGTGTATATGGGGATACCTTCATGATTAAAGAATAAAACAAATAATCAGCTAGTGTGCATATCAACATATTTGATATAATTTTATTTCATCAATTTGCTACCAATAATGCCTTGAATTATCACCTCATTCCATCTCCTCGCGAATCACATTCAACACCTTATGAAGATAGTTTAACACCTCTTATTTAGAAGCAATCTTACATGCAAAGTCTATGTCCAACTAATAATGGTAGATATTATCAGTATATTATGCTTTAGGGAGACATAATTATCTGCATGATTCAATGATTATTTCACAAGATGCACATTGCTTGTGCCCAAAAATCCTCAATCAAAATACTCAACTCTTTAAGAGTTAATTTTTTTCAAGTTGGACGGAATTATGCAAATCAGAAAATCATATTCATCCAAAACACAAATTGTGAGTATAGATGAGAACGAGGTTATTCCAAGTTTTAAGGATTGCTTTAATTGCATTATTCCATAATTCTCCAATTCATTTTGATTAAAAATGCCTATGATGAGGATGACTTTAGTTGCTCCATCTTTTATCATGATAAGTTGAAATACATCATTGATTCATATGAGAAACATTTTGGAATTTCATGAGTCAAAACAGAAACTAACTCAATAATAATATAAGTGAACATCTACTTTGTTTTTCTTATATCCAGAACTGACAAAATACAGAATGAGCACTCAGGAAGCTTACCTCTTGATATTTCATTTCCAGTAAATTAATTTCATCGCTAAAATCCAGACCTCTATCATCCGCCATTTTGCGTACCTAAAATAAAAAGGCCAGAATATTCAAGAAAAATCAGTTGTTGCTAAAAAAAATTATTGTGGCATGCCATTATGAATGTAGGCATATACTAACGTACAAAAAAAAATCAAATATATATTTCCATAGATGGCATCATCATAAGATATTAAAAGTAAAGTTAATGGATTGCTTTAAGAACCATTGTGTAATGTTGTGTTGTTATTATACAGTGTTGATTAGAAGGGAAATATAGAGACTGCTACTCTTTCAAATATGAACAACAGCTTGGGAGGGTGTTGCAAATTATTAAAGGCGTGGAGAAGGTCAACAATTAACATAGCACATTTCTTCTGACATTTACGTAATTACGTTTATAGTACAAATAAAAATAGAGATACGTTAGCGTATTTGAAATAAAGCAACTGGAAACAATGACAACACAAGGCCTCAATTGCAACTAGAAAATTACAAAAAGAATGTTAATTGTCACAATAAAGTGACTGAAGACGAGAAAGAAAATTCCTCATAGTATGTGGTTCTTATTTAAGTTTATAGCAATACACAGAATACCGGAGGATTCCTAGTGAAGTTTCCATTTCCAAGAAAAACAAATTGACCAATACAAAGGTAATTGGGTGATTTCAAAATATTTAAGTATATGAACTCATATCAAGAAGCAATAAGCGTCACAAAAGCTAAGAATTATACTACTAGTTGTCTCACAGCTTTACTTATCATATGTAGACATAATAATAGTTGTCTTCCTTAAGCCCGTTCTAGTAAATAGTATAAAATGAAAACGACAACAGTTTCTTGTTTGCAAAATGCACCAAATTCAAAATGTTCAGCCCTTTGAAGATAAATAGAGATTGTCATATATATGCAGCATGAAGTGCACGAGAACAACCATTGAAATTAAAATCAGTTTTCATTAATGGTTGAGCTTGCAATTACAGTAACTTTTGTCGTTCCATCCCATAGGGCTTGAAGTCACTGTAAAAACAATTAGCTCCTTCATTTGGAAATATAAATGTTATCTTCTAGGCCAATTAAGTCATCATATTAGACCGTTAGATGGTGTTGAATACAAGAGATTTGTGTTTAAAAAGCTTCTTGCAACAAAAACACGGTTAAGTCAGGTTGGTAACAACTATGTTTTTAGATCTACATAGTACAAAGAACTCACATCAGTTATTTTCTTTTCAAGCTCAACCAATGGCTTCTCAAAATCAAGTGTGACCGGCTTAGGCTTATCGGATAAAGGTTTAAAATGAGACAAAAATCTCAAGTGTCCACTTTGTAGATTTGGATCAATATCATCTGGCCATGGATAGTCGTGCTTCTGTCCCTTTTTAACCTTAGCAGAAATGCTGAACTTGCACCTACTTTTATAGCGTGATTGTGGGAGGTTCCTCAACCAAGCTCCATAAACTCCGTTCGATGGATTTCGGCACAGTTCAGCGCCAAAAAAATCCTTTCTGACATGAATGTGCGAACCAGACACGAAACTGATACCTTCTCCTCCAGTAAATGATGTTGACAAGGATAACAAGCTCATCTCAAAAACCCTGATATCAACAGTTAACGGCAACTTTTCAATAGACTTTTGTTATACTGCAGCCCAGATTGCTCTTTCCTACAACATATAAACAATAATGGAAATATTTAAATAAAACCAGCATTTTTCGTGAGAAATATCAGTGGCAACAGAAAAATATTGGCAGGATATGAAGCTATTATAATGATAAGAATTGAGGAAAAAATAGAGAACGAATAATTTATTTCAATTTCAGCATGAAGCCATAATTCAATCCTGTGCCCATAAGATTACAGGATATGCAAAAGTTGTTAAAAAGTTTTAATTATTAATTACGCTCTTCTAAGGTAAAGGCCTTCAGGTGATGCCAAGGTTTTAGCTCTTTCAAGGGAATATTTTAATTAAAACGGCATTTCATCTCTACTCATTTTAATGCAATTATCTGATGTTTATGATTCAAGCTCATTTAGCAGTATGAGATGATATTATTGTAGAGAGATTCAATGATATCTCTTATTGATGCAAAATATATTTCATTGAGCTTTAAATGAAATGTATGATTTCATGAAATGCTAAAATTGATTGTGTTAATTTTAGCATCATACTTATGCTAAGAAAGGCAGAGGTAGGCCTAAAAAGACTTGGGCATTTTGTATAAAAAATGACCATAATCAATTAGAATTAAATGAAAATATGACATTCAATAGGACACGATGGAGAAAAGGATTCATGTAACCGCCTTCACTTAGTGGGATAAAGGCTTGTTATTGTTGTTTTGTTAAACTTAACATTCTTAATACATAACTTATGTATGTTAGGGTAGATGCAAAATAAATGATACGTAATGAGATGCTTCTCTAAGCATGTTGAAAAATAGGGCACGACCTTCTTATACTAGATAGGGATGCTTATACCCGTGCAAAAAAGATTACGTCTTCTACCAGTTCTGTAATGAGATACGTTGACAAAAGTTACTGAACATAATGTAACATATTTGATACAATCAATGTGCTCCTGTGATTAATTTTTAAAATTTTACCTAAAAGTATGTTAGGATATGTTTCTTGTATGTTCATGCTTTGAGGTTAACTTGAATTTCCTGATTCCAACATTATTCATAACAATTATTACAATGAAACTTATGGTCAAAAATGTTATTGACATGAGAAGCCGCTTTATGGATATAATACAGTTAATAAATAAAAGCTTCAATGAATATTACTTCATTTTCCTTCAATTACAATTTGATTAAATAAGTGATAGTGATGATTGGTCCTTTAAATATTATTCAAGTAATTACTGATAATCCTCCAATTTATAAAGCTCGTTGAGCAAATATATCATTATATTTTTTGGATGTCATACATTGATAAGAATATATTTGATGCAAAAAATATTGAAGCAAATGTAATCAACTGCAATGAATGTCATTGGATCACAATGATTGTCGTATATGCTATTTTAGTAAAAATAATTTGTTATGAATCATTCCATGAGGTTTTATATATTTAATAATTTCTCTAATCTAAAAATGTTTGTTGTTGTTGAAACTAGATTTGTTTCAATTATTGTGAATGCTAAGAAGATTCAAACAAATTAAAGATGCACTTCAAATAGTATTGATTAGTGAAAGATGGCTATGTAATCGCGAGAATGATGTGAGAAAGCCAAGAAATGTGAACGAGAAAATACTTGATGATTTATGGTGAGATAAAATTGAATATATTCTATCTTTTACCAATCCTATTTATCACATGCTTCGAGTTGCCTATACAATTAAGTCATGTTTGCACTTGATTTTATCTAAGTCGATGCAAAAAGGATTCATGCAGCCAACCTCACTTAGTGAGATAAAGGCTTGTTGTTGTTGTTATTCTTTGCATCCTTAATACATAACTTATGTATGTTAAGATAGATGCAAAATAAATGATATTTAATGAAATTCTTCTTTAAGCAAGTTGAAACATAGGGTCACCCTCTTATCATAGTAGATAAGGATGTTTGTACCCATGCATAAAAGATTATGTCATCTACAAGTTCTATAATGAGATAGGTTGACAAAGGTTACTAAAATGATGTAACATATTTGATAAAAACAAAATGTGCTTAAGTGATTCACATTTAAAATTTTACCAAGAAGTAAAACTTATGTTGGGATATGCTTCTTATATGTTCGTGCTCTGACATTAGCTTGAATGATATGATTCCAACATTACTCATAACCCTTATTAAAATGCAATTTATGGTTATGAATGCTCTTGATATGAGAAGCCGGACTTTATGGATATTTTGTGGTTAATAAATAAAAACTTCAATGAATATTACTACATCTCGCTTCAAGTTGCAATAGTGTTTTTTTTTTTTTTTTAAATATAAATTTGCATGACTATATCAAAAGTTAACCAAAATTAGAAAAAAGATGCCCAAAAAAGCACAAGTCAGGCCTTGTCCTCCAAAAGAAAAAAAGAAAATTCACTATTTTGAAACTCATCTTTAAAAACAAAGCTATCTTGTAATACCGAGGTAGCACGAAAATGAGCCGCCTTGTTGCAAGCTCTAGGAATATGTACGAATAGCACTTGTTTGAAAGAAGAGCAAAGGTCCAAGTCTTCGCAATCCTGAGGTCTATCCTTCCAAGCATTTTTACAAAATGAGTGTTGGAGAAAGGAGTTGACATTCGCATTGTCGCCTTCAAAAATGACACCATTTACCTCATACATCAAAGGTTCAAAGAAAGTTTTAAGAGATGAGATGGCCAAAAGTTCAACGCGAGCAATATCCCAAGGTTCCACACTAAAGCTGGCCGCCAAAATGAAATCTCCATTTTCATTTATGATGATGAAGCCAACAACCCCTAGATGTGATGGAAAGAGCGCCCCATCTACATTGATCTTTAACCATCCAGAAGGGCACCAAAAAAGTTCATGTAGTAATCTATTCGACCGATTGATACCCCGGTGCTCGTTGTAGATAGGAGACAATGTATATGATAGAGCTTCAATGGAAGAGGAAGCCAAGGTAGTTGCCGTGCCATATGGTTTGCCATGCTTCTTAGAGTTTCTTGCTCACCAATATTGGTAAATCGCCTTGCAAAAAAGTAAAATGGACCTTTTGTTCTTATCTTCGGCATGAGAGACAGTTTCAATAAACTCCTGCAAATTTCGATTCCAGGGAGGTTGAAACCCCACAAAAAGAGTTTTCTTCAAACTTCTGAACAATGGAGCAGTTTGCCATAACATGTGAACTGTCCTCAGGGGTGTTACATCCCCACAGGCAGAGATTACCATCCGCTAATCCTCTTTCAAACAGCCAGCAGTTTGCAGGAATTGCATAGTTTAGAACATTAATTTACCCACTAAGTTATTTATATAACTAACACTGATTTCCGTTAGATATCTTTTTAGGCAAGTTTAGTTTAATGTGGTCATTGAAGACTAAGAGCGCCACGAAAGTAATGGCGAGTTCATGTGCAATTCTAAGTTATTAGAAGTATTTTAAAATTAGAAGTTTCTATTACTGGTTTGTTGGCCATATATTGTCTTTGATGTGTGCAATATCAATATAGTTCGAGTAAAGAACAGTTCATCCTTTTTCAATGTTAATGTTTGATCGCGAAGGGCAATCCCAACATCAAGATCGTCCGTACCCTCCTTGGATTACTCTGCGTTTCCAGGTCAAGTAATGATAGGATATACAATGAAAAACTAAACATTTCATCCTGTTCCAATTACAAATGACGGCTAACAAAAAAAAAAATTGCGGCAGCTTCATCTTCCATCTTAAATCACCGCTGCTGGTTAATTTCACGGCATAGCACATCAATTGCATTCTCATTGCTCGCACTTCACAGATCTAATAAAAACTGCCAGTATTTAAAACGAACAAATTCAGAAACCAACACAGCGAACAAAAACAAAAACGCAGAGCGAAGAGAATAGCACTGCCATCTGCAACAATCCATTGGTAGATATTCAATCATTTCCTAACATTTCTAGTCGGATCAACAAAGGCAAACATCGGAATCAAATTGTAGCAATACAATATAAATTTTACAGAGACTTACCTGCTTCGAATAAACACACCAACTTTCCCCCGGAAATTCAAAGACTGAGGGTCAGATTGAAGGAGCTGGTAAATCTAAATCCTAGTCATTAGGGTTTGCAAACGAGAGAGAAGTCGCTTAAATGGACACCGGAAAAATTATTCGAGGGAGCGGGCGGAAAAAACTATGATCATGTTCGCTCGCTCGCTCGCTCGCACACGTAGATCCGATGGAATCGGAGAGACCAATGGTCACGATGTCCTGTGAAAGTCATGGACGGCGGAGAGCGCAGAGACAGAGAAATTTCTATGCGGTCGTGGCCTATAATTCGTTGAAGTGATGCTCCTGGTAGAGGTTGGGATCGGCGCACCAAGCTCCATTTGCTAACAAATTAAGCTCAAATCAACTCAGGTTGAACTCAGTAGCCTGTGGGCAGTTTCATTAAAAAAATATCTCACATAAAATGTACTTAAAATATATTATAATTCAAATTTTTTATTTAAATTATTATTAAAGTTTCCCAAAAAGAATATTTCAAATATAATATTTTATATTTACCTTCGAGCATCTTGAATTGATATTAATTTCTCCTTCGTAATAAGCAAGTCTGCTCGTGAGCTGGTTAAAACTTATAAAAGTAAGTTCGAGCTCAAACTCAATTAATTAATCTATCTAGGACTCGAGTCAAAAGTGGCTCGAGATTGACTTGCTTGCACCCCTCCTATGGATGGCTTGATTTTCTGAGAAATTATTGGGATGAGAAAATTACTATAAATGCTTAAATATAAAATTAATAAATATTTTTGTGGGACATTTACAAACATACCACCTAATTCTTTTGTATTTACATAACTAAAACCTAAACTTTGCTCGTAATATTTATGTTGATGCGCTCCTAAAAGCTTGTATTGATTCACATAAATCTCGGCATACGTTCGCACTGAAACTTAAAAAAAATCAAAATTGTAAATGCCTACACTCCAATTTATGATCAAATGAAGTGTCTCGGCGAGACAAATTAAATGACTAAAAAAATAGTCCGAACTAAGTCCAACTGAACCAGATAATGCACTACAAGCATAAAGATAAACTTTTAGAATATATTTTGGGAGAATATATGATATTCTAATATTACAAGCATATAATCAAATCGAGTGTCGCAATGTGACGAATCAAATGAGCCTAAGATCAATTTATTCATACATTATTAAGGCATTCAAATACTCACAAAATTACACCTGATCAGGTGAATCAATCACTCAGGGTCATCCGATGAAATGGTTTTGATTATGCAGTTTTTACAAATGTTACTACTCCCCAAATCTATAAATAACTCTCACTCTCTTTGTAATAAAGGGGACCAAGATGAGAAGACATAAGTGAGCCTTATTCTATTATAGTCTTCAAAGCTCTGCTGCCCCGAGTCGTCGTCGTTAGGCAATCACGTTCGTCTCGCTGCCACAGCGACTAATGCGACCATCGTTGCTAGATCATCACCATCGACGTCAATAGACCATCAACACCATCGTCATTCTATCACCTTCATAGACATCAGACTTTCATAGCCAGGTTTTCATACCATCGGAGCCTATTCGCCATCACTGCACCATACTGCCACCATTAAACCAACATCACTCGACTAGCACCAAGTCATCATCATCGTGTCGACCACCGTATTCGGGTTGTTGTCGATCCATCATTATCATGCTACAATCACCAGGCCATTGAATTCATACCACCAACACTAGGTCTCTGTTTTTGGGCTACCCCGCTACCGCCACCACCGAACCATCGACACTCAACCAATTGCAACCACCACCTCCACCATCAGTGGGCCGCTTCCGTCACGTTCAAGTTCCCATTACATACAACTTGTGTCAAGCCACTACGAACGTGTTGGACCGCCGTAGTAGGCCTGTCATCACCATCACAAGTAAAGCAATCCAAAATCAACAGCTACGACCAGAACAACACACAACCTAATAACAGATAACCAACCGAAAGATAGGCAGCAAAAGTTTAGAAAATAAAACCTCCAAAACAAAACAAAAAAATCCCCCAGCATGCGAGAATGAAGTAAATAGAGATCCCATAAGCATCATACATGTTCCCACAGCCTCCAGAGATAACCCTTTTTAACTAATGCAGTGCCTTAAAGAACCGTAATTATAAATTAATTATGACAATTAACTTTTATTCTTAAATTAGGAAAATTTTCAAACCAACCAATTTATTTTTCAAATCAAATAAATCAAACTGACCTTTAAATTGATTAATTCAATTCATTTTTTGTATGATCCAAACTATAGTTAAGGATTTATTGAGGACAACTTTAAGTTTCAGACCGCCAACATATCTCTGTCATGAGTTGTTAAAGTGGAGGTTCAACATGAGTTGTTAAAGTGGAGGCGACTTTATTTTATTTTATTTTTAAATATATATTTGTAATTCTCGTCTCAGTTTATTTAATTTTAAAAGTAAATGTCATATTTTTTTAATGTAATATTAAAAAATTTGAGTGATATGTATGTATGTATATATATATAAAATGATCTGGCTCATTGATGCGGCCTCTACTGTAAGTCCTTCGGGTCGGAGGTTCGAATTTTGTGGCACGGACTCTTCGGATCAGATACAAGCACACCAGGATTTTCAACCCTTTGGGGGAATCGATACATTGCAGCCCATATTCCATGCACACAAACATACACAAATTTCAAATAATTTTTTATAAATTCTAATTCAATAATGGCAATGATTTGGTCAATGTAGTGGCCTTTTTTTAATATAACTAAACTTTAGGATGGCTGGTATTCTATGCTGTATCGTAGCTGATGAACATTATAAGTATAATATAAAGGCTTTAAGCGAATCACTCGACCCAAAAAAAGAATTTATTTTCAAAATAGTATTTTTTTTATAGTTTTAGTGTATTTTTGTAGTATTGAGAAGAAAAATGTATCACTAAATTGTCTGAACTACATTAAAAAAAAGATCGCATATATTTTTTTTTTATGTAAATGTGGTATATATCATGTTTTATTGTGGTATATATCATGTCTTATTCATAAAATGATCTTTCTAATTACAGAAGCGAGAATACATTATGATAATGTTATTTTGTTCTTATTTTAAATAGGGTTGTATAGGGTATTATTGGCATTTTATATGTTTGAGCCTATCGCTCGGCTACTCTTTGTCTCGGTAGATTGAGCTTGAAACAGCTTTGGGTCGGCAAGATCAATTCAATAAACTAAGATCTGCTCTGTTGATTGTGCTTGGTTAACATGAGTTGATCGATTGAGATTGCCCGATTGTTAATCATTTAGTTAATATAGGAATGCTTCCAAATATCTCTGATATGATTAGAGATGCTAAGATAATGAGTATTTTCTCAGGTTATCTTCTTCGCGGTGGTTAGCTCAGATGACTCTTCTATCTATTTTCTAACTGAAAGGTTTCGACCAAAAGGTTCGAACTCGGATCATCCGGTCCTCTTCTATTTTCATCTTGGCTCAATCTATTTTGGTCTTATTGGCTTTAACTCGAACAACTGTACTCGATCCGATAAATTGGTCTCAAGTTATTCTATCCATGGTTCCTCCGTCATTATATTCTTCTCCTCTAAACCGTCAGATTTTCTCGATATTCGTGTTGGCACGTTTCTGTTGCACATTAATATTACATAAAAAAAATGTCATTTTTACTTAAATTTTAAAAATAAAATAAACTTTCATGCATATATTTATGACACAAAATTTAAATATTGGTATATAGATGCATAAGAATTGTGACATGCCAACTGCTACGTAATCCACTGAAATTAAGCCTACAATTTATAATTATTTTTATAACTAACTTTTAAAATATTATAATTGCATAATTAAATTTGAGCCCGACAGAATAGATCGTAAAACAATTGGTGTCCGTAGTTCCACAGTAGCGCCGTACTTCAGCGTCCCTTAATTAATTGCATTTAAACCTTCTGTCCGGCTCTACGTGGATCTTCATTAGCCCTACGCTGCCCAACTCTCATAGCATGAAATTTTCACATCTACCACACAATTTTTTAGGTATTTGCAAATTTAACATCCATAATTCGATATTTAACACTTATAGTATTTTATTGTTATGTACATTTATACGAAAATTTTATATCACTTTTAAGAAAATAGATTGTGGAATTTTCGTAGTTGTTCTTATTAAGGGTCCGTTTGGGGCAGCTTATTTAGTGCGATGACGTTTTGAAAACGCACCTGACATGTTTGGATAAACTACGTTTTGGCAACTTGTGCGTTTTCAAAATGCTGAAAACAACGTTTTTTACTGACTGCGGTCTGACTTTTTCGAAAAAAATAAAAATTTGTAGTTGTCACCGCACCTAACTTATCGGCAGATTATTTTTAATCAGTCTATCAGTGCATTATTCAATAAGTTGCAGCTGGCCCAAACAAACGCTAGATTAGTCATTTTGACAATGAGCTTGCAAGGGCAAAAGATCTTTTCATCTTTTAATTAATGTCGTATCTTTGTTTTTTTTTGTGATGATTACATACAAAGCATCGAAAACATTGTTATTTACAAAATCAAGGGCTCGGGTGATTTTATTAGCTACCGAGCCAATGCATTTATATGTGACACCATCAAATCATTAAAAACTTAATAAAAATAAATAGTTTTTCTATGATATATCATTTGTTCTTATTTAAACAAGTTTTATTATTATTTTTTTAAATAATGTCATTTAAAAAACGATTGTTATAAGTTTAATTGCATATCACATCAATAACTCACACATTAATTTAATCATTAATATGGAAAGTACATCAGATCACATCATGTTAACCCTTCTAATTACTACTATTGATAATATACATTAGATCATATCATGATAAATCTTTATGATAAAGACTGATTGCAATGCTTATCTTTAAGTTTTGTAATTCTATATTTGAAATATTAGTTAGTGTGACTTCTATATTTGAATTTTAAGAGTCTGTTTGGGGCAGCTTATAAGTGCGGGCGGCGTTTGAAAACGCCGCCGTAGTACCGTTTGGTTCGCCCGTTTCATCAGCTTATCTGAAACTGCGTTTGGGTTTTTACACGAAACGCAGGCCGCAGACAGTGTTTCAGGATAAGCAGCTTATCCTGAAACGCACAAGCTGCCCCAAACGAACCCTAAAACTCATTATTTTAATATTTATCAGTTGATGATAAAAAAAAATTTCCAATTTTTTTATGAATTAATAAGA